TCCGGAGACCAATGGGCAGCCAGTGCAGCTCGCGGAGGATAGGCGTAACGTGGGTGTACCGAGGTGCACCCAGAATCGCTCGCGCAGCTGCGTTCTGGACGAGTTGAAGTCTCCGAATGCTCTTCAAGGGCTGCCCCATGTAGAGCGCATTGCAGTTGTCTGGGTTCGTATAGTCAGTACGAGGAGGCTCCGAAGGCGAAGGAAAAGGGGCTCACATCAACTTTGGATTTCTTCAGAAAAATAAATTATCAATACAAATAAAAACACGGAGTGCCATTAACAGAGTTACTGAAATTAGGATAATTGGCCTGTGGGTGGAATGCATCCACGGACTGACAAAAGGGTGAACACAAAGAGAAGAATGCCAATCAGGAGATAATGAGCGGGGCAGCCCCTCCGCCATGGGACTAATTGCACGGGCCTCCGGCTCCCGAGCTGTGTTCTGTGAAGCTCCAGCCTTTTCCAAGTACTCCAGCACGGAAAAGGGTTTTGTGCGAAGACTATTAAGCTCACTTAGTCACCTCCTCCATTGAACGTTCTGTGATTCTGTGCTGCGGAGGGTACACCACCCCTGGGAGCGTCTTCTGTTCCAGCTCTCCCAGAACAACCCATTTAATTTCTCCACAAGCCGCCTTCTGAATCACGCTTCAAGTCAGGAACAAGCCAGCATTGGGATGAAGGTTAACGGAAGTTAGTTTGATGGCTCGGTGGCCTCCGCAGGAAGAAGCCAGAGCTCCGCTGGCCTCCTGGTCCAAAGCAAGAGGAGACGACCAGCTGAGGCCAGGGAGCTTCACGTAAACACTCAGCAGCAGGGAGACCCCCGGGGGCTTTTCCCAAAAGGCAGCTGGGTTCTGTTCTTTGAAGACGTTTTGCTCCTCATCCAAGAAGCTTCCCCAGTTCTTAACTCTGGTTGGGGAGCAAAATGTCCTTTGGAAAAGCTCCTCTGGGGCAGCCCTGACCTGGGGAGCCGAGACCCTCCACAGGCCACTAGCAAGGACCCAATGTGGGCGGGAGGAAAGCCGCCAGGAGGAGCTGCACAGACTCGTCCTGCCCACGGAAAAGGGCCCCCCGTCCCCTCCGCTGAAGGCACCACGGAGGAACGGGGGTGGCCCCCTGAGGAAGAGCACCGGAGGAGTCTATTTCCACCTTCCCTCCCAGGGAGACGAGAAACGACGGAGGACTTGAGTCGGGAACAAAGGCGCAGGGAGGCCGGCATGAAGTTATGGGACTTTTTTATTTTTGTGGGTTTTTATTAATTTTTCTTTTTACAGGCTATTGTTGTACCCGTTGCTAAAGCTGCTGATTCTGCCATAAAACTAGAACAGAAAATTTCCCAGAAGTCAATTCCCCTCCTCCTCTTCCTCCTCCTCCTCCTCCACTGCTTGCCTACCTACCTCCCAAGCAAACCAGGCAACCCACCGCCTTGCATGGACAGCAGGCTCAGTGGAGAGAGCCTGAGACGCAGCAGCTACATGAGTCTGACCGAGGAATGAAGAAGCCAGGAGTCCGCTGGCCGTGAGGACTGCCCTGTACAACGTGGCCTGCTTGGAGTTTGGTCCACTCTGGCCGCAGCTTAACCATAGAGATCGTCGTCGTTGTCCTCGCTGTAAACGTTGCCTCCGCCGGTGCCTCCGGTGCCCTGGCTGGGCCCAGCGCCCCCTTGGTTGCCTGATGGGAATCTGCCAGGAGAAACACAGGGGGGAAATGCAGGTGAGGAGCCGGAAGAGCCATGACTCCTGAGCTGGGGGGGCTTGGAGTTAACGGAAGCTGGATGCCAACATCTGGAAAGCCAAAAGGGAACACCGCCACCCCCCTGCACTACGGGGCAGAACCTCCTGCCTCAGGAGAGCTTCAGAGAGCCCCACACGGGGGGGGGGGGACGGGATGGGGGGACAGCCAATGCAGGAACGGCCCTCCTGATATTTATTTATTAAACAGCTTCCTTCCTCCTTCCTTCCTTCCTTCCCTCCCTTCCTCCCCTCCCTCCCTTCCTCCCTCCCTCCCTCCTTTCCTTCCTTCCAGCTTAGCTGTTCCTGCTTGTTTCCATACAACCCCCTCATTCTCCAGATGCAATTAGAGATACGGGCAGAAGCTGGGAGCATTGAACTGGGAGATGGGGAGAGGCCGAGAGAACCAGCTGGGCTGTTGACTAAGCAGTCAGACTGGGAGCTCAGGGACCCCCTCGGTTANCGCCTTGAAGCGTATCCGGAGACCAATCGGTAACCAGTGCAGCTCGCGGAGGATAGGTGTAACGTGGGTGTACCGAGGTGCACCCACGATCGCTCAAGCGGCTGCATTCTGGACAAGCTGAAGTCTCCGAATGCTCTTCAAGGGCTGCCCCATGTAGAGCGCGTTGCAGTAGGTTTAGATATTCTACACCCACAACCCTTTTTGGGCACATTGTGAAGACCAAGTCGACGTCTCCACCTAGTCAACTTTTAAGATGTGTGGACAACAACTCCCAGAATAGTTGTTCACACGCCTTAAAAGTTGATGAGGTTGAGAAATACTGGCTTAGAAGGTTGGCTGATGGGTCTTGATGGGGCTACCAACCCAACTCAACTGCCGTTGGTTGGAAGGATCTCCTTCACTTTCTTCCCTGAGATGGTTTCCCCCAAGGCTGTTTGAGCTGCGATGACCACGACCTGGTCTTCTGAGCCAGTAATTCTTCTGACATTTCGAAGGCGGCCGTCTTCCTCGTCTTCAGCTGAAGGACGTGATTGCTTCTGACACCGAACCTCCTTAAGCTCCTGACAGATCTACCAACACTCAACCGATCCTCTTCCGCTAGAGAGAGGGAGGGAGGGAGGGGTGATTAATGAAGAAGGATGAGACATAAGGAGGTGGGATGTTGTTTTTTTAAACATCTCTGTAGTACTCAACTCTGCCAACAAATACGTAATCGGGATACGAGTATGGAAAAGACTCCTTGGGCACCCTTGGATTCTTCCAGAGCGCCAGCTGAGTGGAAAAGTGAGAGCTAAAACAAGGCAGACTGGGTGGGAGGTGGGGGGGGGGGCAACCAGCCACACTTTGCCCCCTTCTTTCCTCCTCCCACTTAATGCCCGTCTCTGGCTGAAGTCTCCCTTGGGCTCGTTTCTACATTGCTTTCCCTCCTCGTTGTAGTTCTGCACGGCTCCCCCGCGCATCGCTAGCACGTTTCGCCCACAAAGGTTTCCTATTTAGGGGAGAACGTCGTCGTAGAATCGCGTAGGTTGATCTATAACGCGACTCCTGGTGGGATCTCATGATAACGTAGCGGCTTCTCTCCCCCCTCTTGCAGGCGTTTCTGTCCGGATCTTGTCAAGTGACAGCGAAGGCAGCCCCAACACGCCCGCCGTGCATCTCCAGCAAGCCGAGCACTTTGAGTGGGACTACTACGACCCCGGGTACAAGAGGAAAGCGCGGCTCCATCGTTCCCTGCCTCCCATCTGCAGCAAGCAGTACTGGCTGTAACCCAGGAGGCGGAAGGTTCTCTGGGCCGCACTTTGCGGTGTGTGTGTGCGAAAGAGGGACGTGCTTATTGGCCTTCGTTGCGAGGAATGATTTTGGTCGTGGTCTTTCTCTGTGGCTTGCACTCTGTTTAGTGGGAGACAATTCCTGTTTCGGCTGAATGTCTCTCCCACTGGAACGTTTCCACACCCACAAAAAGCTTCACTTAACACCAGTGGTTCCCAAACTTGGCAACTTTAAGACTTGTGGACTTCAACNGGGTGGGATAGGGGGGATGGTGGGGGCAACCAGCTCAGCTCCCCTTCTGCCCTGCCCTAGACCCCTTCCCCGGGAGGGAAGGAAGCGGCTTCAGGGGGGGGGGGCGCTGGCTTTGGTCTCCAGCCTGCGTCTCCCCTCCTCCCCCTCCCTTGGTTCCCAGCCACGCACGGCTTTCGTCAGGCGGGGGCAGAGCCGCGCGGGGGAAGCGCCTCGCCGAGGTGCCTGCGTGCCCGCGGCGTAGAGAAGAGGCGTCTGGCGGGCTCGCTTCTCCTTGCAAGGCTGCCGGGCTCGGCCGCGGGTGGGTGGGCGGCGGAAGCCGGGGCTGAGCGACGGCAGCCGCGGGGGAGCCAAGGCTGCGTTGTTGCGTGGGACGCGGCTCCTCCTGGAAGGCAGCTCCTGCCAGTCTGGGTGCCAGGTGGCCGACCAGCTGCCTGCGAGTCGGTGTGACGTCCCGGAAGGCTTTCATCACTAGGAAGGGCCACCCAAAAAGGAGAACGCGCTAGAGTCTGACAAAGGCGCTCTGCCCATGCTCAGAGGTCGCCTTGCCTGGAGGGATCCCTGCAGTGAAGGAAGCACCAAGAGGCAACGCAGGAGTAGATGGGGGGAGGGAGACGGCCTTGTCCCCTGCCCACCAAACAGCTGTCAATTTGGGGAGGGGGGAGGAAGCGTCTTTCCTGCACTGGGGGGGGGGGAGAAACAAGGGCTGCTGGGGAGGCACACTTTTGCCAGTGAGGAAATGGAACCTCACTGGCACATAGGAGAGCTTCCCAGACGGGGCTCCTGGGGGTCTCTGCAGGGAGTGGCAAAGTGGGGCTGGCTGTGACTCAGACTCTGCTGGGCTGACCTGGTTTGAGGCCGTGGGAGGTGCAGTGGCAACGGAAGGCACAGGGACACAAGCTACACAATCACAACTCTGTGCCAGGCCCTGGCGGGGGAGGGTGCCAATGCAGCTGCTGTGGTGCTGGAAGGAAAGGGGGGGGGGAGTTAGAAAGGGCGTTCAGTATTGGAGGGCCAATAGAAGCCCAGTGACCCAGACTGGAAGAGGGGGGGGGAGGTGTCAGGAGTCTGTCAGTCCGAAATGAGGGCACCAATCCCCTCCTTGCAGATCCCAGGAAAGGGGATTCTCCTGGGCGAAGGGCTCCCTTGGCATGCTGGGATTTGTGATTGGAGTAAGAAAGGCTTTCCTGTGGGCACCAGGCAGAGCTGGCCTGCCAACCAGGGATTCGCCTCTCCAGTCAGGGCCCCTCCAGGACCAGCCATATCTGGGGTCACTGGGGGGGGGGGTTGCTTCAGGCAGAAGCAGCAACCAGAACCCCCCCGCCCCCCAAGAGTTTCAGCAGGAGACCCTCGTATTACTGGTCACAAGCTACCTTACAAGCATCCTTCCCCTGGGAATGGTCAGACAAGGCTTGGGGTATTCTGGGGGGTGTCAGGCCTGCACCACTTTCTCCACTGCAAGGATTCTGAGCTAGACCCCCTTTTCACCCCTCCCTCCTGCAGGGGGTAAGTTGGAGATGCCATCACTAGAAGGGAGAGAGGAGAGATGGACAGAGGGATACAGAGAGATAGGAAGGAAGGAGGAACAAAAGGAAGCAGAAAGAGAGGGAGAAGGAATTACAGATTGACAGAGTTGGAAGGGGTCCAGTAGGTCATCTAGCCCAACCCCCCCCTGCCCAAGCAGGAGACCGTACACCATTTCTGACAAGAGGGCATTCCACTCTCTTCTTGAAAGCTTCCAGAGATGAAGCCCCCTTCTCTTCCTTTTGTTGACTGGGAAGGAAGGGAGGGTGGGAGGGAGGGAGGAAAGGAGATAGTATGGAGAAGGAAGGAGAGGGGAGGGGAGGGGAGGGGGAAGGAAGGAATCTCCACTGCCACTACAGTGCTCTAAGCTCCCCCCTCACTTAACACCTCCCTCCATTTCCAAGGTGCACAATAAAATGTGTGTGTGTGGGGGGGGATCATACACAGCAGGGTTTCTCCACTAATGGGATTCCATGATCTCCCCCCCCAAAATAAGTGTGATTTCCCCCCTCCCCCCAAGTGGGTGTGTTTTCACTGAGATTAGGGCTGGGCAAGAAATAAATACCCCACAACTTAAAACTAAATGTAAAAATGAAATAAAAGCACAAGTGTGAAGTTTTACACCAAGAAAGGACTTCCTGCACAGACGCTCCAAAAATGAGCCACACGGGTGATTCTGGAGACACCACAGGCGGTCCTCGAGTTACGACCACAGTTGAGCTCAAAAACTTCTGTTGCCAAGTGAGACGTTTGCTGTGCCTTTCACCCCATTTTACGACCTTTCTTGCCACAGTCGTTAAGTGAATCACCGCAGTTGATAACGTGAGTCCCATGGTTGTTAAGTCCACGTTCGGCATGGGCTTTACTTGTCAGAAGGGGGGTCACGTGACCCCGGGACATTGCAACCGTCATAAGTACGAACCAATTGCCAAGCATACGAACGTAAACAGATGCTGCAACAGTGTGGAAAACGGTCCTGGGTCCCTTTTTTCAGTGCTGTTGTAACTTCAGACTGTGGCTAAGCGAACTGTTGTAAGTCGAGGACTCCCTGAATTTCCAAGAGGAGCCGAACTCGGCTTCAGCAGCCGGTGTGCCTGGAGCTCCTTCTCTGAGAATGGCTCCTCTTGTCCGTCCCGCAAGGACAGCAGTTGGAACGGATTCCAATCTTGGACATTTCAACCGCCTTCAAAGCCCTGGTGCTGCCTCTCCTGCACCCTTTGAAAAGCCCCCCCAGCCCCCAGGTGGTCGCTCTGAGTTCCCCTTGACTCAGTCCTCTGACGGGCTGCCTGGAAGCCCCCTCGCTGCCCCGAGGTTGGGCTCCCAGCCACCACCCGACCATCCGGAAGGAAGACGAAATCTTGCATTAACAGGAGGTGAAGGCAGCCCTTCTTAAAAAATGGAGCCTCACCTGAGATCTTCAGAAAGCAGCCAGGCCGGCTGCTGGTCTTGCAATAGGACAGGGAGCCAGCAGAAGGCACCTGGGTTGGCCATGGGGCAGGTGTGGCCACCCCCACCCCCCTTCATGAGAGGGCCATTCTGGGGTGCTGGATTATGGCTTCAAACCGTCTTCCAGCTGGTGCAATCGCAGGGCTGCTTGTGCCCAGGAGGATCTGGAGAGGGCTCAGGGGGTAACATCTGGTGGTGATGTTACATTGTCTTGTGAAAACCTGGGGTTCAGCCTTCACTGCAGGTGCCCTAATACTTTGTTCCCTGATGAACTTTGTGGCTTTTAAAGGCCTCAAATGCTCCACTTCACGTGACACCCGAAGGTGCTTTTTCCAAAAGGCAACTGGGCTTGTTCCTTTGAAAACATTTCCCTTCTCATCCCAGGAGCTTCTTCAGTTCTCTTCTTGGATGTGAACCTAAACATTTCCCGAGGAAAAACTCAAGAAAGTCCAGCTGGGCATTTTGGAAAAGCCCTTTTGGGCCAAACCATGACCTGCCTGGTTGAGAATCTCCAGAGCCTCTTCGCATTCACGTGGCTTCATCCTGGCTAGAGATCTGGGCTCTTCCTGGTTCATGGGCTCCCCACTTGCCCTCAGCCCTGGACAACAGGATCGGCTGCCTGGCTCTTCCCTGCCCCCATGGGAAGGAGTCCAAAGGACCCCTCCCCAATTAGCAGCCGGGCCAAGCGCAAGGGCCAGGGGCCTCCCCCTCCGGCCCCTTCCCCAGTGGTCCCAGGGGGTCTGAAGGAGGAACCTCGCTTTGCTCCGTCTGGGCAGCGCCTGGTCTTTTGCAGGCAGCCGGTGAGGGGCTGCTTGTCCCCCCTTCTCCCGTACCCCGACCGCTGCGCCCGGCTTAGGGGCTTCCATCAGCTGCAAGGGAGCCGCTGGGACAAACGAGCGGGAGTTTCGGGTGAAGGCTGCCTGCCAGCCCTCCTCCCCAGCTGGGGGGTCCGCGGCTGCCGCCCCCAGGCAGGGCCGGTCAAGCGCTCCCGGGAGCGAAGCGCTCCGCCTTTAAGCCGCCCCGAGCGCCCGAATCCCACAGCTGGGGCTCCTTAAGGCCAGCCTGCCGGGCCGTCCCCATTCCGCCTGCGCCGCGATGGAGCCCCTGCGGGGTCTGGCGGGCCAGGTGTGGGCGCTGCGGCGGTCCCTGCGGCTGCTGGTGGGGCTGCTGGTGCCCTGCCTCCTCCTGCTGCTCCTGCTCAGCGCGTTGCTCCTCCTGCGCTGGCGCCTCTGCCGGAGGGTGGGGGCCGCCCGGGGCCCCTCCACGCCCCCCCGCTTCCTCCCGGGGACCNCACACTCTTATATACAAACGTGCCTTGGCGACGGGGGATTTCCGCAGGTTGGCCTTGAGGATGGCCACACGAGACTTCTCGTCAGGCAGAGGAATGTAGATGAGCTGGTCCAGGCGTCCAGGGCGCAGGATAGCCGGGTCAATGATGTCTGGCCGGTTGGTGGCGCCAATGATGAAGACGTTCTTCTTGGTCGACATGCCATCCATCTCCGTCAGGATCTGGTTGATCACTCGGTCGGCGGCACCACCGCCGTCGCCAATGTTCCCCCCACGGGCCTTGGCAATGGAATCCAGCTCATCAAAGAACAGCACGCAGGGAGCTGCTTGGCGGGCCTGCCGAGGGAAGGAAGCCGCGTCAGCCGCCAAGGCACCAGTGGCCATCCCTGCCCGGCTGCTTATTGCCCAGGGCACCGAAAGGCTCCTGGCAACTGTCATCACGGACGGTTAAGTGTTCGGGGGCTACAACCTCAAAGCCCTGGAACCGGCCTCTGCCCCAGAAGCCCTGCTCCTCTGTTAGTTCTCCCACTCTTATCCCTAAAGCCTCCGGGACTTGGGAACCGCTGGCCAGTTTCAGAATATCCAGATTCCATCCGGGAAATATCCGATACGTCCCTTCATTCATCAGAGCAACTGTGGTGCCCCTAAGAGGACGCAGGGAGGCAGCCCTGCAGGGACAAAGATGGTTCCCCAAAACAAAGCTAGAACCCTTTACAACGATTTAAATGCTGCCCAGAACTCCCAAGGATTTGTAGGGGGGGGAAAGGGGATTAATTAATTCATTTAAAAATCCTTTCAATTTGCCTCGGCTGTGTTCCCCTCCCCCGCCCCCAGAGCACAAAACAACTGGAAGAAGCTGTGCAAGATCGGAAGACGCAGAGGCCCAGAGAATCCCTAAGGGTCCAACCAGACTGAACGAAGATTGTCATCACCATCATCATCGCCTCACCCACCCCCCCAAGTCCCTCGTTCGGCCCCTGGGGAATGAAGCCTCGCTGCCTTTTGGCTTAAAGCAAACGCTGCGTGACCGAATGTTCCCCAGGATGTGAAAGCTCTGAATCTGAGCGAGGAGGCAACGAATCCTGGTTCAGGAGGAGGAACTGGGACGGTCTCCCCGGGGGGCTGATGCTGCCCCAGGCCCCCCCCCAGGCATTGCGGGAGATGGTTGACCCGAGGGAAGCAGAGGTGCCTGCCCTCACCGACACGGAGGAGGAGGAGGAGGAGGATCGGCTGCAGACAGGCAGTGGTGCTGATAGGCATCTGATCCCCTCTGATGAAGAACAGCTGCCTCCCCCACTGGATCCAAGGGCACCGAGAATAGAGCGGAGGCTGTGAGGCTACTCGGGAGGAGTCCATCCCACCCCTCCTTCACAAGGAACATCTGGCGTGGGTTGACTTCAGGAGAAGGGGGGGGGGGAGTCTGCCTTTGTCAGGAACAACTCCCCACACCACCCCCCCCCAGGCTTAAGAAAGACCCAGTCTTGTTCCTGCCTTTGTCTTTGCCTGATGGACTTGCCTGGCCCTGGGCCTCCCCCCATGAAGGTGAAGCCCCTTCCCTTTGGACCTCCCCCCCGCTTTTGCAGGCTGGCTTCGGTTGCTTCCTGGCTTGTCTCTGTGGGACTGAGGGGGCTGCCTTCAGGGAAGGGAGGGGGCAGAGCCTCACCTGGCGTTGTAGGGCTGCCCTTTGGGGTGGCTAACAGGGCAATAAAGGACCTGGGCAACCTGGGACGTAACACCGAGCCTCCCGCCGAGACCTCCAGGTGAGCCGGGGGGGGGGTGGGAGGCGGAGGAGGGAAAGCGGAGACTCACCTTGTCGAAGATCTCGCGCACGTTGGCCTCCGACTCTCCAAACCACATGGTGAGCAGCTCTGGGCCCTTGATGGAGATGAAGTTGGCCTGGCATTCATTGGCAATGGCTTTGGCTAGCAGGGTCTTTCCACAGCCAGGGGGGCCATAAAACAGGACTCCTTTAGACGGGGTCATGCCAAACTTGAGGAATTTGTCAGGATGCTCCACCGGGTACTGGAGAAGGAAGGGACTCGACGTCAGCTCCCAGGGGAGACGGCGGAGGAAAACACAACACCTGCCCCCGTTCCCCCCACCACTCAAGAGGGGATAAACCAGAACGAACCAAGAGCAGCAGCCGGGCTGGGAACCACCTCCAAACTACGATTTGTTTCAGCATCCAATGTACCTGGCCACTCAGGCAACCTGTCTCCTCCCCCCTCCCATCAAGTGTGCAGATCTCACTTCAGCCAAAATCGCTTGCTCTGTTCTCCAGCTCATGTTTACAACACACACACACTGGAGGTAGGTGATTGAAAGAGGAAGCCGAAGGGAACCATATTACGAGGAAGGTAACAAGCCTCAAAGCAATTCTGCAGCTGAACCCACTCATTTACTCTCCTGGAGTTCTGGAATAGGACAGCCCCCAACCTGACTTTGACAAATGCTTTCCAAACAGCTGGACGGCTGCTTTTGGGGCAAAGTGGGAGTAAGCCCACCGCAAAGCTCACCTCACAGGGCCTGGCTGTGTTCCAGAAGCCTCTGGCCTTCCTCCAGGCTTTGGGCCAGAGTGAGAGAGTGTGTTTTTGTGTGTGTGTGTGTGAGAGAGACTCTTATTTTTTGCTTTTCTTCAAGACATGTGGGTTCCTAACTGCTTCTGTATGTCTATCACCAAGTCTTGTTATCGAGTTGGGTGGCCTTAGAAGGTCAACATAAATCACCAAACAGGGGAATCTTAAATTTATATAAAGATTTCATAGGCTCAGGAAACAGAACCATTCAAAACGTAAGACTTACCGACCATTTTTAAACGGAGACTAATTTTCAAGAACAGATGCTGTTTTAACAGCCAAGAGAGGACATCAGGGCATGCCCTCGTGCTATCGGCTGCCACCTTGCAGCTGGCAGGCCCACGAGGAAAAGACCCCCGCAGCCTCACCTGAACCAGCTCCTGGAGTTCCCGCTTGACGTCTTCCAGGCCCCCGATGTCTTGCCAGGTCACCTGTGGGACTTCCACTACGGTCTCACGCAGGGCCGAGGGATTGCTCTGGCTTAGCGCCCACTGGGGATTGCAAAGGGAGGAGAAGGGAGAGGAGGGGTTGCTGCCTCTTCTGGTGGAGGCCATTTCCCCAGGTGGAGGAAGGGGAGGTGCAGCCGCAGCTGCCTTACCCGGAAGTCGTCCATGGTGACGGCCAAGGAGTTCATCACTTCGGCATCGATGGTCTCATCTTCAAGGTCAATCAGGTCCATCTTCTTCCGGATGGCCTGCAGAGCCGCCTCTGAGCACAGCGCAGCCAGGTCAGCCCCCACATGGCCGTGGGTCTCATTGGCCACCTGGAGCAGAGGAGGGACACGAGTAAAGATCTGTCCCTGCGTGGGCAAAGGGGAGTCTGGCCTCTGCCACAGCAATGCCCCCTCGGCCCTCACTGACACCCAGGTAACCAGACGGGCGGCTTGAACCGGCATCTGGTTTTGGACAATGCAACCCCTCTAGATTTAGCCCCGTTCGACCAAGTGTTTTTGAGAAAACTTAGCACAGAAATCCGCTGTATAAAATGTCAGGCTTGACCCAGTTTGAGAATGCTCCGATTTGACTGGTCTGGTGCTCCCTCTTCTGGCTGTTTCCTTCCAGTCTTCTAAGTCAGTTCCTGCTGAACTGTCTCTTGCCTGCCACATCCTTAACCCCCCCCCTTTCCCACCCCTGGATCTAGGTAAGAGGCTGGCCGGTGGGTCTTAGGGCAGGAGAGAGAAAGGGAGCTGAACGCAACTTAGAAAAACAGTTTTGAGTTTATTGACATTTGTATGCCGCCCACTCCCTTGGGACTCTGGGCGGCTAACAGGGGCTCATCAGGCTGGGAAACTGGCCGGTGGTCTCAATTGCGCTGTGGAACGCTCTCTCTGGCGCCTTTAAGAGCCACAACGCACAGCCCAAAACTATTCCCAGGCTGAATTTCAACTGTTGCCAACCAATTTCATTGAATTTATTTTGTACAATGACAATAAAGGCTATCCTAAACAACAGACTCTCTTCGTCCTAATAGCCCTGAGGAAGTTCACAGCTAACACACAGCAATGGTTCCAGCACAGGATCAGGGCTCTCAAGGAAGGGGGTGGGGGAGGTGTTGGATAAGCAATGATGGCTTTTGGCGCAATTAGCAATTGACATGCATGGGGCGGGGTCCTCCTCCCTTTGTCCCCCTCCTAAGAGCAGCTGAGCCTGAGCAGCTGTAGCTGCCTGCGCGACTTGGCCGGCTGTTCTCATCAGCACAACCCACCTCACAGGGTTGTTGTTGTGGAGAAAATAGGAGGAGGGAGGAGTATTAGATAAGTGGCAGGAAGGTGATTGCTGCCTTGAGGAGGAAGGGAGGGAGGGAGGAGAGAGAGAAAGAAAGAGAACAAGAGGGAGGAAAATAATGACTTTAAATGGACCCACCTCACATTTTGGAATGATTATTTTATCGCTGTCATCATGACCTGCTACTAAGTTTATATTAAATTTAATTCTAATTTTAAAAAAAAACCAAGCCAAACCCACCTGCTCCAGATCAACATCATCGGCCAACTTCATGTTCTTGGTGTGGATCTGCAAGATCTCCAGGCGGCCAGTAGCGTCAGGGATGCCGATGTCCACCTCCCGGTCAAAGCGGCCTGCAGTGGACCAAGAGCAACCATCACCTTTGCCGGTCTCCCTAGAGAGAGCCGAACCCTCTGCAGCGTCCGAGGGCCCACCTGCCAGCAGGGCTCAGCTGAGGCAAGCAAGTGGGGGTACCAAAGCTTTACAGCCTTTTGAGGGGCAGCTCTACCCCCCTCCCCACTCAGGAGCGCCCAACGGAGCACCCCCACGCTGGACAATGGCAGGCTATAATCCTCATTTTGTGCCCGCTATGGCAAACAGCTTCCAAGGAGCCCCCTCTGCCCATTTGCTGCCATTGGCAATTTAGGTTTGCTGCTGGTGGGACCAGCGAGAGTCTTATGCCCCTTGGGGCCCCCCTGCCCTGCAGGACACTCACTCTGCAGTTGGCAAGTTTGTGCCCCCCCTCCCAAACAGGTGCCCTGGACAATGGGTATGGGGGAGGGGGGCAAATGATCTGGCCTTCCCTTCTGAGTGGAGATGAGGCGTGGTCTGGACATTAGCCCTTTCGCCTTCACCAGATCGCTTGTCAAAAGGCAGCTTGTGGCGACCGGGGGCCACTGCAACGTATGGTTGACCTCCCTTGTCATTTTCCTAGTCTTTTAAATTTAATCTGCTCTCCGCCTGCCCAGACTCTGCGAGGAATGAGGGGAGCTCATCAACGCCATGCGATGAAGGTGCTGGTGGCAAAAGACAGCGTGGTTGGGACTGAAGGGATCAGAAATGGAAGAAACCCTTCCAGAGCCCAGGCCCTGCGCCGCTGCATTAGCCAGAAGAAGCCGGTTAAAAGGAGAAGGAGAAGGAGGAAGAAGGATGAAAGAAGAAAGAAGAAGAAGNGAAGGGATGGTAAATAAAGCAACCCAAACTGTATATTATAACCTATTAAATGGAATAACAAATGTATAAGAATGAGAAATGTAAAGAAGAATAACAATTAGGTGAATGTACAGTATACTTAAAATGGTATGTAAGAGAATAAAACATTAAAAGAAATTGGCAAAAAAGGTTATTTCCACATAGGCACACTTGAGATAATGAGGCTCCTGTGGATGGACATACCTCATGTTTTAGAAAAAAAAAGATAGACAGATAAAACCCACTTATGATACATATAGAAAATATACTTTTCTTCTAAAATCATTCCGTCCTAACAACCTTGTTCTTAAAGGCACACACACACAAAGACAAGGAGGAGAGAAAAGAAAGGAAAACAGAACTGTCAGGTTTACACACCCTGGTCATTGTCACTGTAAATCTTAGTTAACTTAAATTAGGAAAGGCAAAAATCTCAACAAACATATTAATTGCTCAGTGACTGCATGGAAGAGGAGAAAGATCAATGTTGTTATATTTTTTTCCTTTCTTTTAAGTACCTTTATGATGGGCTGGCTGCTAAAGCAAGGTCATGGCACACACTTGAAAGTAAATCAGGAAGACTATAATGTGGGGGTATGTCTGGCAAGAACAAAGAATGCTTATCAACAGGAAATACGCATGTGTAAAGCTTGTAGCAATTATGGGTAGTTAGACAACTTGCAGACCTCAGCTAAAAGTTAGGGATGGCCGGCAGCAAATGAAATGTATATTAGATAACTCCTGGGGCATTCATTAGCCAAGGCTTATGAGTAATGACAGCTAGAGACTAATAGAACAAATTGTAGAATTATTACTAAAATGTTCATTAGATGATATTTCTTGTTATCTCACCTTGTCCCACCTTCTCCTTTAGTGAAAATGTATAAAGCTTACTTAATACTTTGTTCTTGGTTCTTGGCCATTTGACCAGGAACCCTTTTCCTTGGAGTACTCCAATAAAAAGCAATCAGAAAACCTGCACCTCGTGTCTAGCGTCCATCATTGACTTTGGCACCAGGCTCAGACCCAAATTGGGGACAGAAATCTGGGGGCTCATTCCGGGATTCCACACCTGGATTCAATTGGAAGACACCAAAGACTACCAGAGGAGGGCCCCTGAATGGGTAAGACTTAGTGTCAGGCCTGTAGCCATGTTCCTTTTGGATCTTTGGCCTGCCACACTTCTATTCTACTATGCTGTCACTATAGTGGGGGATTGGGGGGGGGGGTAGTACGGAGTAGAATGTTATGTAGCCAAAATAAAATTCCTTTCTAGAGTGCCAAGGTCATCCTTTGTCTTGGCACCTCTGCACCTGACCAGAACTGGATGGGTGGAACTTCCAGCACGGCAGTGGAAGATTGGACCATGTGATGGACTTGTGGGTGTGGGGGCAAGATCATGAACTTTAACTTGGGTGGAGAAAACTGAGAAGCTTCAGATTCGGGTTTTCCCAGATATGTGCCAGCATGGCTCTCTTAATAAATTGGAACTTTGAGCAGTACTTTGCCTTGGACTCTGATTTCATTTTGGATGCTATCTGGAATGCTGACACTTAGTGGCTGAAAGGTGTGTGATTGCTCTGAAATAAAACTCCCAGTCAGTGACTAAGACTGTGTGTTTCTGCACTGCCAGCCGCCCTCAGGGCTCATCAGTCTTTTGACAGTGATTGAGCACTCTGAAAAGCAAGGGGTGATGCAGAGATCCGCATGTCTCACTGATGCATAGAGTGGATTGATTGAATGTAATGACCCACTGTCTAAATGAATGTCCAGCCTCGGTAAGATCCTTGGTGACTTCTTAATTGAACTCAAAGCCTGAAGCACTGAAGAAAGTGAGGGGCAGTACTGGTGGAGGATCAGAAAGAGGTAAAATGCAAACAAAGGCAAAGACCAAACAGGAGACGTCCCAGGGGATAAGAGGAATCCACCTGAGATCCTGCTTTGAAATGGGAAACTGATAGCAAAAAGACATCCAGTTGAGGAGCGACAGAGTTGCCAAAAGGGAAGATGCTGAAAGATTTGCTGGTGGGTTGTATTTTGCCTAATTCTGAGATATTAGGAGGAGTAGATATAGGGATCAAAGGCAGCCTTTTCGCATTATTGTATGTCTGTTTGGCCTTAACTTCCCTTGGACAATCCAGGTGATTTTGGCCATTTCAGGGACCTCATAATATTGAGCTACTAAAAGCAATATTGCAGAAACAAAAGAAACAGACAGAGATACATTATTTGAGTTTATTTGTGAAACTTGTTAATAGTCCATTTCTGTTAGAGGAGTGTGGAGGTAGTGTATATGTGTTTCTATGTTGTGTCATTTCCAAGCCTTGGGAGAGGAGCAATAAACAAAAAGGCCTTATTATTATTTATTATTTTACTTTTTAAAAAAAAGGATTTGGAAAAAAATGGAGCTCATTGGCTTGTGAAA